CCGGTCACGAGAGACGCGGACGTACAATACTGTATCCGTGTCCGTGTGGCTACGCGTCAAGGCGACGGTCCGTTCGAATCGATCGACGTCTACTCAAACCGCTGTTTTTATGGCATCGTCTTTAACCGACGGCTCCGTCAACGAGCGAATGGCACGACTGCTTTTGGCCGTTATAACCGACACCTCTGCATCCTGTATGTGGCGCTTTTTTTATCTCAGCGCTCCGCAATTTGAGCGCATCGCTGGTATTGGCAGTACGCTCGGTGGATCGTTTTTCGGTACCGATCGTGGGTGCGTTCACCTACAAAAAAGAGGAACACACGAAGGTGTTGCGCCCCATAGAGGCGATACTCAATTCCCGACCGTTAACTCCGCCATCAACCGACCCGCGTGACATTGGGTGTCTCATGCCCGGACACTTTCCGGTAGATTTACCGTTACTAGCACTCCCTGCCCGTACTTCGGATGTCCGTATCTGTTCGATTGTCGACCGATGGAACCTCTTGTATCAGTATCATAATGCATTCTGGCGACTTTGGTAGGCTGAATAACTACACCGTACCTTGTATGTATCTGTTTCAGTACACTGCAAGAGCTGGCCAAACGTCAGACACGCAGCCTCAAACGTCCAAAGCAATAACGTGATCACGTTCCAGGTATGCTTGGAAACTACACCTCAAGTGGCGGCCTAGACGTCTATTTAAGACCTCAAGCGGAGTAGTCACTTGTTGCGTCACAAAAACCATATTACTATTCGTATTATTATTATTTGCACCTCGTATTATTTTTGTTTGCTAATGTGTTTCCACGCAAGCAATGTTTATTTAGGAAATATTAAAATTATTATAAAAACAAATAAGGAAGTTGCCAATAAATATGTTATTTTTAATCTTTCAATTTTTTTTCAACCTAAATAATCAGGTTATCTTTTCTTTCGAATAAAAATGAGAATTGTAATGAATTACCTCTCTCATGTACCACCCAGAGAACATTTTCCTTCAGAAAGGATGCTGTAAATGAAACGCGAATTAATAAGTCTGGTAGAAAAAGTGTATAAAAAAATATAAATAAAAAATAAATATTATTGTCAAAACCAATACATTCTTCGCTAAACTCAGAATCTAAAATACAAATTGTCTCTCTTCAACGGAGAAAACTTTAAATACTGGAAACATCGAATTGAAATATTACTTGACGAACAAGGTTTGCTACGGACCGTGAGCAACGAAGAAAATGCACTGCGTGTTTCTGATGATGCTATGACACTTACCGTGTAGCGCGGATTACCGGTGCTCCGTGTAAGTATCAAGTGGCTCTAGTTTTCCGCCAACATTTCATAATTGGCGATAAAAATACAATTATTGGGATAGTTATTATATTTTATTATTGCAATGATTATTTAGATATCGGGTCGACTTATATTATTGAAATGAATGTTAAATACTTCTTTTCTTTTGTTTTGTGGAGAAAAACTGTGTAATAGTGCAATACCAGCGAAATTAAAACGACATTTTACATCTAAACGTGCTAATCTACAGTACAAGGATAAGAATTATTTTGAAAGATCGTTAAATAATCAAACTGTTCAAAAAAAAAAAATATAACACAATCAAATAAAGCACAAATTGCACGTTTACGGTTGCCGAAATAATTGTTAAAAATTCAAAACCACAAACCATAGCATAGTGCCTAATTTTACCAGCACATTCTTAAATAGATCAAATTGGGTTTATCGATGATGCAAAAAATGAAATTATGAAAATTCCGCGTTCAGACGACACAATAAAAAACAGAATTTTACATATGTATGATGATATTAAGAAAACAGTTTTTAATAAACTTTTAAATCAATTTTTATGAAGCAGACAATTTACGGAACGCACAACAGGACAGAATTTTTTTGACTCTATTTCCTCATATTTAGATAAACATGGAACCAATGTCCCATGAACCTTCATATCAGCCAGCTTTATCAGTTGATAATTGATTCATCTCTTAGCAACATATGAAAATAAAAATAACGCACATACTTATCAGATGGGTGCTGTAACCGTTATAGGTGGGAATGTGGGAAGGTAATGTACAGTCCGGAATTCATTGTATATCTATAAGAAATAATAAACCATTTCTAACAAAATAACGATTCTGGGCGTAGTTCATTTGATAGTGTTGCTTTATCAAGAATATATATATATGTCATATTATTGTCAAATGATTAAAACTATCGCGTTTCCACGATAGCAATGTTTATTTAGGAAATATTTAAATTATTAAAACTTATTTTAAAAAAAAGTAAATGAAAAGGGTTGCAAATAAATATATATTATCTTTACTATCTCGAATATTAATGAGAATTTTATAAAATAACCTCTCAAAAATGCCTCGCAGAGAAAATTTTCTTTCGGAAAAGATGCTATAATTGAAAATCAAAGTTATTAGTCTGGTAGGAAAAGTGTTCACATTAAAGAAAATATAAGAAAAAAGTAAATATTATTGTAAAACAAATACATTCTTCGATAGGCTCGAATCTAAACAATAAATTTTCTCTCTACATTTGAGAAAACTATAAAAACTGTAAATATGGAATTAATATCTTACTTGACGAACAACGTTTGCTATGGACCGTGAGGAACGGAACACAGAACACTGGTGCTCCGTATACTTGGCTAAAATGTCCCGCCAATAGATAAAGAATTTTCGGTTTCATCGTTTTTAATAATTGTACTTATTAAAATACATTGAATAACAAAATTACATTCGGGAAAAACTGCAAACTATGATAAAATAATATTTAAAAACATTGTCATTGTGTGTTGTATAACGTTGCATCCAAACTAGGATATCAAGAAATAGAATTAGATTTAGAAATAGATTAAAAATTGACTTGGAACAATTGCAGATTGTGTAAGAAATTTATAATTAGTACACGATTCGTATGATTCTCTTCGTATGCGATGTGATAAGATTAACATAATATTTCCGCGTAATATTTTTATATACTTTATCGACCGCAGTTAACGAATTTCTTAACAAATAACTTGACTTTTTAGTCAAACTTTTTGGACATATTTTATTTTGTTTTATCATTAGGGTACATTAATTAATTTTTCCAAATATTATATTAATATAAAAATAATTATTTAAAAACGCAGGATGAATAAATGTGGACCAATATCATACGAATCCCTAGGAATCTCTACCGACGGCGCTCCTATGGTTGGTTCAGTTTAAGAATTTATCACTATACCGAAGTATAAAAATCTTAATGCCATATCGACCCACTATTTTTTACACCGAGATTCACTTATTTCGAAAACATTACTTATAACATTATAACCCATATAAGACCAAGTTGTAAATATGGTCAAGTATATAAAATCACCGCACTTAAAAAAACGCCTATTTCAAAAAGTGTATACATCTATGGTTAATCAACTTAAAAATTTACATTTACATAGAGATCTAATTTATTTATCGTGAGGTATAATGCTTTATCGAGTTACGGGATTTTACCAGCATGTTCAGAAATAGATCAAATTGGGTTTATCGATGATGCAAAAAATGAAATTATGAAAATGCCGCGTTCAGACGACACGATAAAAGACAGAATTTTACATATGTATAATGATATTGAGAAAACCGTTTTTAATAAACTTTTAAAACAATTTTTATGTTGCAGACAATTTACGAAACGAACAACAGGACTGAATTTCCTCATATTTAAATAAACATGGAGAAGAATGATACTTTTTCTATATAATGATTATATTTTATAAAAAATAATTTGACAAATGATATTGGTGTACTAAAGTGGCATATTAGGACGTAATTTTCAATTATTTAAACACTGCCAATAATAGTAGGCAAGGTAAAAATGAAAATATTATGACGTCCACGGCTAAAATATCAGCATTTCAAAATAATTTCCTTTTGGAGAACGCGTATAGTTTAAAAAAAGATGGTAGACATGTTTACTTCGGTATAAAATAATATCCATGAAATTATTATAATTATAACGCTTCGTTAATATCATTAACAAATTTTATTCTATTTTATTGACTTAATACGAGAATTTTTGGGTATGTAATTTTATAAAAAATACCGTGTAGTGTATTGTTTAATTGTACGACCTAGTGTCACTGTATTGCTCCGCAATAATCTTATAAAATTATAATTGTCTCGGGGTCCTCCAATGATACGAACCACTGCTCCATGTTCAAAAATATGTAAAAGTTAAGGAGCCTCTGTAAATAATTAGGAAACCCTTAACTGAAACATTCGAACGAAATCGAATAAAAAGTCAATTATTCACAGTTAAAAGCCGAATTTTGTCAAAAACAGGTTACGGTTACGGTAGTATACATAGTATTCGGGAGAAAAAATGTACTGCAAGACAATCAAAGATTCTACGGACGATGAGGTTAAAATTAGATAGATCGAAAAGAGCGAAGGTCTGGTTGACATAAAACTATGAATAATATTCAAATGATTTTATATCAAAACACACATATTTCAGTCAGGTTACGAGTAAAATATTGTTGTATTGTATAGATAATGGTTTTATTTCTTTTTATAGTATCTGGCATTTAAAGTACCAATTTTCATTTTGTCGAGTCCACGGAAGAGACGATTTTACAATTGATTTTTTTTTTGTACAAGTTCCCTTCCTCGGAATATTCCCGGGAA